ATAGAATACTGAACTAGGATTGGGAGACCTCAATGTATGTCTTGAAACCAGGTTCTGAGACAGAACCATCTTTATCAATTGTTTTCTGGGGGAAGGGGGATAAAAAATAAATCAATTTAACAAATTTGGTTGTAGGACTTAGTGGGGCGATCGTCCATTTCTTTGAGCCAATGCAGTGTGGCTAAGAATCTACTCTAAAAAAAAGTGACAAAGAGCAAAATAGAAGGCTGTGTATTTTGCAGGATTACTAAGATAAACAATAGAAGCAGGGAAAGCAAGTTTGGTGTAGTGTTAAGCTGCAGGACCAGGAGTAAAAAAGACTTAGGCTCTAGTTAAATCTCAACCACCAAAACTCATTGAATTACTCCGGGCCAGCCAAATTCTCACAGGCCAAGCTCTCTCCCAAGGAAGTTGTAAGGAGAACTAGAAAAGGAATGACTACTCTGAGCTTCTGAATAAAAGGAGCAAAAAAGGTCACACAAGCCTGTGCGGTCATATGTCATAACAGTTATAAAACAGGTCAGTCACGTGACAAACCAAATTCTATGATCTTTTGCGGGGGCAGTAATTAAACAAACACCACAGTTGTTAAACAAACTCCATAATCGTTGTTATGGATGCAGTTTTACTGAAAAGCAGAAGCAAGCATAAAGCACAGTAACTGTGGAGCTGTGGAATGCTGCAAAAGACTGTAAATGTGCTAGGCGCCTGAAAGTTGGGTCACAGGATCATCGAAATATCAAATCTGGATTTTAAGTTCCATTTTTCTGGTTGGTCATAACTAAGCGACCAGTTATAAATCGAGGGCTACCTATATTTTCTTTGATGGAGTTGATTGGTTTTTGTAAACGCTCGCACTCACCGAACCAGTTGTTACACCGGTTGAATTGCACCCCTGTATATTTGTGTTATTGTGTGTGTGTTTCTCTGTGTACCTATTTTCCTGTCAACTTTGTGAGCAGTTTAGGACTAAAAATTGGAACTAGATTAATAATTTAGCCTTGTCTCATCCATAAAGGACTACTATGAAAAGACTAATTGTTCAGATTGGAAAGCCACGGCAGAAAGCGTGACACCTCACCTCCTTGAATCATGAGGGCTCTGACACTTTGACAAACTTAGAGGACTAGGTTCTTGGTTCAAAAGCCTCTTCAAAACTGTAGTGCAGGCCTGCCCGAGCACTATCAACTGATTCTCATTGTGCAATACTGATTAGAATAATTGAGAATTGAACTACATGACTTCAAAGATACCTTCCAACATTCTTGGTTTACAGAGCTGCTTTGGACTATGGCCTCTTCCTGACTTTGACCCTGCACTTATGAGAAGTGAGGATAGCTTGGTCTGTACATCTTTGAGAAGAACAACCGAGGAGGAATGTGACAGCACTCTTGAAGTGCTCAAAATGATATCATAAGGTGTGTGACTGTCTCTACTGTCTCTAAGTAGAAGAAATAATGGTTTTTCAATATGAAATAATGGTTTTCAATTATGTCAGGACAGGTTTTCATTGAACTTTAAAAACACTTTGTAAAAATAAGAACAATTTGATACGAGATCAATCACTGGAGAGCACTGGTGATTTCTCCCCTCTGGATGTGTTAATATGAAGTCCTGAGAGCCATCTACAAGGAATAATGGGATTCTTACACTAAGGAAGGATTAATTTGATGGTAACTCCTCTCAGCTCTGTATTTCTATTGGCCATTCCCCATGGTCACACTAATGAGCTTTCCCCTTCATTCTTAAGTTGGGCTCAACATTCATATCAACATTCAACCCTACCTCTCATATCAACATTCAACCCTACCTCTCATATCTTTCACAGAGGAGGCTGCACAGTGTGGCTGGCCTTCCCAAGCTTAATAAGGGGTAGTTTCAGGACAGTTGGAGGATCCCCCCACCAATCTTTTGTCTTCTGCCCAGCATCATCTACCAATGGGAAAACCAGCAATCAATTGTTCTCCTGAATATATGGTAGGGTGATTTGGAGGTTCAATTTTTAACTATTATTTATTTAAAAGTAGTGTCTGATTATTTACTATGTGTTTCTTCTGACAGAAGTATTGATCTTCCTGGAAATAGTTATGTCAGAGTATGAGAAGACTGATACATTTCGATCAACCAACCTCCATTCCCCAAAGCCTTCTTAAAAGATTGGGAGAGCTGAGTTGAAATTCAAAGTAGAGAATTCTGAGTCAGAGGGCTTTCAACACTATTAGATCTTACTTTCCTTTTACACTTCTGAAGTTAATTTCCTCTGAGAATAGTTTTTGGTCATGCAAAAAGCTCTTTCTTCTCCCACTTCCATTCCATATTGATGATGACTATATCTCGCCCATTTCTATTTTGTGTATTCCACAGCACACAAGTAACACCCACACAAACCAATTCCTGGGTGATAGATCTCCTGAGAGCGTGATAGACCAGTGTAAACAGAAAAACAACAGAATCCAGTCTTTCTTGCACCAAAAGCCAAACTTGCTGTGGAGGTGCAATACACAGGAGGATAGGGCAAGCACTTCTGCTGCAGGCTTGCCAGGCAAATAAGAAATGAGAAAACTGGTGCCCTACATCAGGGGTCTCCAACCTTGGCCACTTTAAGCCTAGAGGACTTCAACTCCCAGAATTCCCCAGCCAGCTTTGCTGGCTGGGGAATTCTGGGAGTTGAAGTCCACAAGTCTTAAAGTTGCCTAGGTTGGAGACCCCTGCCCTACATTGTCCACATGGGGAAAATAATATCACTGTTTCAGCAGTGGGGTGAGAACGACATGAGGACCTGTCTTCAAAAACACTTAGTAAAATGTCTTCCAAAATGCCTTCTGGTAAATGGCCCTATGACTCAACACTGCTATATTAGGCCTTAGACCTGTCCTTAACCACCACCTATCTGTACTTCATCTGATGCCAATTTGCTCTTCAGGAACTCAATTATCTCTACTGGATCATTGAGAATCACATTCCTGCTTCAAGCATGGTAGGTACTCGTTTCCAAATTACTGGTAAGGTATTAAAGAAACAGAGATCGATTGCAATTCCCCAAAGCATAGAAAAGTTGGGCTGCTATACCTTCCATATAACACAGGGTCGTAAGTCAGCCAGGTTATCTCCAAAAGTGTTGCACTTTCAAAATCACCAACCTGCATTTCTCTATAGTGCTAGGTTAGTGAAAACTGTCTTTAAAAAGCAGAGGGGTGTGTATGTGTGTGATAAAGTTTACAAACTTGTAATTTACCTAAATAATTGCAAATCATGCCAGATTTCTTCCAAGCCAGTTTTCAAAAAATTTCTCTTAACCTGTATGAAAAAGTATATTCTAGGAAAAAAATTACCCACAAACTTGTGACTAAAATATATCTAAATGAAATTAATCAGTAATGAAATAAGCTATGTGCTGATGGAGAATAATGAAGACAGGTGAATGAACTGTAATTAAGTTCTAATCTGAACAGCTGGCTTCATATTTTTCAAGTGAGAATGCACCCAGATTGATTTCTGGTAACAAGCTGGATTTTGCTGAAAGCATTAGTGACATCTTTGTGAGAAATGCACATGAACAATAAACAAGAAAAGGAGGATGGGGAGTCTCCCAGTAAACTAATCATGATATTTATGTTGTGTGTATTCATGCACACCCACACACAAACATACATACAGGTGTAGCAATTAAATATTGAGTCCTCCAACATGTAACAGCACATTTTTGTAAAGGTTGGTCAAACACCAACAAAAAAAAATATATTTTAACATGCTTTTGAAAGCCAAAGCTTCAACACTCTGTGGAATTTAAAAGGAGAACCTGTTACAAGAAGCACAAAATCTAATTTTCTTGCTTGTTCTCAACATCTAGGTCAAAGGCTTTCTCGGGTTCTTCAAGAGTTTTACACACAATGAAGCATTATGATAGAGATAATGTGTTAATATCTTGCTTAACCACAATGTGGTTGAAGTGGAACAGGTACAGCCCAATGGGGTATCTGGTGTGAGCGACAATCTGCCTTACACACCCCAAATCCTCCAGTCTTTTCCTTCTATCTCCGCTGCCTTCCAATCATCGCATTTCACGCTGCTTTATCTTGGCTTTCTTACTGTATAACTTGGCTTTCTTACTGTATATCTTGATTCCTCTGCTTCTTTCATCTCTTCTCTGGCTATAGTTTAGTTTACTTTATTGTCATTGCACCTTGTACAATAAAATCAAACACCATCTTCAGTGCACATCATGATCATGAAAACAAACACACAAACACACATCCTTCACACTCCACACATTGAATTGAAAGTTGTAAGTTTATTTTACAAATTAAAAATTGTAAGTCAAAGATTACCTGTATTTAATTTATTCTTCATTCCTTATGTCTTTGTATTTCAAGTATTGTTATATTTTCCTCTATGTTACCTTGGTGTTTTGTTCCCTACCCTGTTCTGCCTCATTTTCTGTATCACTGCATTTCTTGTTCCCTTTGTGTAACTAACTTGACTCTGGTTCCTTTCTTTTACCCATCACCTCTATAAGCCTCTACCATAGCATTTTTCAATATTAAAATATGAGGGAGAGGAAATCCAGCCATCTTAAGGTTGCCAAGGTTGAAAAACACAGCTATACTATTATGCAGAGCAGCCAGCAGTCTTGTGGTTTTCCCAAAGAAAATGAAGAGCTGACTATAGGACTGAACATCTGAACTTCTTAATTTTAAACCAGAATCACAGCTTCTAAAACATGTTGCAGCTACAATGTATAAAACAGTTTCACGTAACAGAATGCTTATTCACATCAAAAACTCCTTGCCTGTGGAAATAAAAGGTTTTATCAATAATGTAGCCTAGAGAAAATAACTTCTCAAAATATCTTACCAAAATTGCATTTGTTTGTTTTTTAATTAGCAGAACATTCCAGTTAGTAAGAAAATGGCATTCTGTTTCCAAACCCCAAATAATATAAAAGTATTTTTTTATTTATTAATCACATTGTAGTGCTGTCTACTTAAGGGTATGAATACCTGTTTCAATATCTGTTAAATGAAGCATAAAATCAAAGCCTCCACTCAGTGCATTTCTTCCACAGGGAGACCACTGAATAGCTCGGACAGCACCGGTATGGATAAAGTATGATTTCAAACAGCGTCCTTCATCCACAGCATCCCAAACCTGAAATATAAATATATAGATAGATATTTTCTTTAAAAATATAAAATAACCAATAACTTATTTTAGGGTCAGCAGGAAGTAGTACTGATTTCTGCTGAACTATTTTCAATGAGTAACCAGAATGTCATCAGAAAATAACATTTATTTATATAACTTTTTAAAATTACATTTCAGTACCTGATAAAATGAGATAATCTGAACAAGAGTGCTAGTTTGGTGCAGTGGCTAAGACATAGTAGGAACCAGGAGACTGTGAGTTCTAGTCCCATCTTAAGCACAAAGCCAGCTGGGTGATCTTGTACTAGTCACTTTCTTTCAGGTCTAGGAAGGGGGCAATGGCGAACCAGTTCTGAAAAACTTTGCCAAGAAAAATGCAGGGACTTGTCCAGGCAGTCTCCAGGAATCAGACATGACTGAATAGAAGGAAAAAATTGAATAGAACTTCCAAATATGTTAAATTTAGTGCAGAATACTACAATGCACATATCTTTTTAAATTAATAAATATTTGACCATAGATTAATCTGCATTAAGAGAGGTATATGAATTATTGTCTTCAGCATCTTCAGTAAAACTATAAACATGTTCATTCATTCCTTCTTTTCTAATCTGCTGCAACTGAGAGATTTTTTTTTAACATTTCTGTTTCTAGCATTTTTAAGTTAAAAATAAGTTTCTAAAATGAGGACATTCACTTACATGTGTTGCTTAGAGAAAGTCTACTGTACTGACACATATTGATACAAAATTCCAAAGCATTGAAATACTGAATGCCCTGTATTTCAGTAAATATAAAGAATACAATACTGTACTCTTTGAAGTCGACATATAACACTTTTTCTTATTTGCAGAACAAAATGCTTGAAAGAGTAGGGCATATTCCCATGAAGCCAATCTGCCATAGAAGACACATTTCTATATTGGCTTAACAAAAAAATCCAATGTTTTCCAAATATATCAAACAATGTATCTCATAATCTCAGACATTTTGTGGAGATGGCTCCACAAATTTGGAGATGGTTAGCTTGGCAAAGGCCGAAATGATTAATACAAGAAAACAAGGATAATTGTTTTAATAGCCAGGGAAAATTAGATTTAATTTCCACAAAATTTGACTAGACATTAGGAATTACAACCTATAATTATATTTTTGGTTTCAAGATAATCAAGATCTTTCATTAATCAAAAGCTATCAGCTTTGTATTCATCATTTTAATAAGAAATGTATCTACAAAATTTATCAGAAAAGTAATATCCTGTTAAAAGGCTAGTATGAGGGTCTCTTTATGAGACATTATATTGATTTCCTTTTTTGTATTAATGCTAATATCCTGTGGCAATAAAAATGATGAAAATAACATTCTCGATTATTATCATCTACTTTGCTTTAAAACTTTTTAGTAATTAAGTTTGCTTTAAAACTTTTAGTTATTTAGCTTTCAGGCTGCACAGTATAATTAATTTTTCAGGCAACTTTAATCTTCAGAATTAGAACTACCAATAAATTAATATCCAAATAGATATGAGTTGATATGGATCATCATGATTTCAACATTCTTGCATTATTATTTTAAAGCAATTTCTGTAGTTGTCGGGAGTGGAGTCAAAGCACTTGGTTAAAAACTAATTTCAGAAGCAAGCCTTATGTCAAAAAACATATGTTCATAGTATTTGTATAATCCAAAAATACTACATTGGGCAAGAAATAAATATTCAAATAGCCCTTGGTTGATTGAAGTCTATTGATTCAGTGTAACCACAATAGGAGCTCATTACCACATGGTAACTTCATGTTTGGCATGTTAACCGACATGCCTTTATTTAACAGTATTTTTATTAGTCCTCAAAAACAAAATGCTCTGTAGAGCAATGAATTACAATGCAGTCTCTGAGAATATATTTGAGTAAGTCCTACTATCAATATAGTTCATTTCATCTTATTTGCAGAGAAGCGGTAACACACTCTTGGAAATAATACTTTTAGAAAGACTGGGTGAGCCTGTCACATTTCACTAGACTAATAAAGAGTAAATCATATCCAGGTGCATTGTGAGAGGGCATCCCCTTTTCAGAAAACAGCTGCTTGAGGAAAATGGAAAAGACAGGTTGTAAATTACTTAGAAGCTCCTCTCTGATGTTTAAATGATCAACTATGAATAGACAAGGTCCCTAACAAACTTCAAGCAGCACATTTTCTCTGTCTTTGGAAGAAGCAAACAAGCATCTCATTAAAGTGGATTGGGGTTACTTTATATTTTGCTAAATGTGGGTTTCTTTGTAACTAAGAGTTGAGATATGGAATGTTTATTTGGATGGGATATGTTGATTCCTTGGTTCTCTCTGAGCTTGGTAGTTTTCTTGCAGCTGTTTCTTTACCAAACTAGGTAACAACATTTATTTTTATTCTATTTATTTTGTCACAGGTATAAGTATATACATAGTTATGAATATATGAAATGGATACATATAAGAATAATAAAAAGAAACAAGACAGGGACGGTAGGCACGTTGGTGCGCTTATGCACGCCCCCTACAGACCTCTTAGGAAAGGGGTGAGGTCAATAGTAGACAGTCTAAGGTTAAAGGTTTTGGGATTTGGAGAAGAAACCACAGAGTCAGGTAGAGTATTCCAGACATTGACCACTCTGTTGCTGAAGTCGTATTTCCTACAATCAAGTTTGGTGCAGTTTATTTTGAGTTTGTATCTATTGTGTGCTCTTGTATTGTTATGGTTGAAACTGAAGTATTCATTGACAGGTAGGGCATTGCAGTATATAATTTTATATACTATACTTAGATCGGACCGAAGGCAGCGTAGTTCTAGGTTTTCTAGGTCTAGAATTTCAAGTCTGGTGGCATAAGGTATTCTGCAATGATTAGAAGAGTGGAGAACTCTTCTTGTGAAATATTTCTGGACTTTCTCAACTGTATTAATATCAGATACGTAATGCAGGTTCCATACTGATGAGCTGTATTCAAATATTGGTCTAGCAAATGTTTTGTATACTCTTGTTAATAGTGTGATATTACCAGAAAAAAAGCTCTGTAAGATTAAGTTAACAACTCTTATGCCTTTTTGGCTATGTAGTTACAGTGGGCTCTAGCACTTAGATCATTAGAGATGAGTACTCCATCAGTGCTAATAGGCAATGGGGTGTCCCCTTACTTTACTAGCGGCTTTCCCTTTCAGTATTGGTGAAAGTGATCTTGATGGTTCCTTGACTGGATTGTTGTTTATTGTTAACTTGTTTGAAAGTTCCTTGATTGGGGTATTGCTTGCTTCTGGATTGTTAGTCTAATGATAACTGGAGTGGGATATGTTGTTATTTGGGATTATTCTCTTCAAAACTCTTGGCATTTGGAATGGAATGGGTTCTATATTGGGTTTGCTTACAGTTAACATGGGGTTTAAACTTTTTTTTCCTTAAAGGGTTGGTTTGTTTTTTTTTATAAAGGGGAAATGATCCTTCTTTGTCATGTCAAACTTCAGGTTTTTGTTTACA